CAATGTCATCTGCAAACATCATAGTCCTAAAAGTCAAATGAACATTAAAACAAAAACAGCTGGTCTATAATATTTGTTATTTGTGGTTAGCGGTTGCTTGAAGATCTGTACAGCATGGAACAGCACTGTCAGAATGTGTAGTGTTTTTGTGTCAATCTACCATCACAACAAAGTGTGTGTTGACACTGAAGTCTGTTTCTTGGCATCAACTGGGGGATTGCAGAAATTCAAACCGGCTCGTTGAAAAGTGCCACGGAACTAAGACCTCATGTTTGTTAAAAGATCAGTGTTTTAGTCCCAGGATAATGGAGATTTGATCTGACATGAGTTCCAGTTAAAAGCGGTTTTCTGATGTCATTAGTTTAGCAGAGAGCATTTGATACTAACGATGAAGTGATACTCGATGACAGCTAAACATATCTGAACTATCCCTATAAGATTCAGTGGTCATGTTAGTGCCAAGCTTATTTTCACAACGCTTTAAAGCAGGGGTCACCAACTACGTTTGTCAGAAAGCCAGAATTTTATTGGACAGACATCGCAATGTCGGGCACTCAAATATAATGAAACAGACGCGGGGTGGCTTGTATAGTTCGGCAGGCTAGATTGGGTCTGCGGGCCACCAGTTGAAGATCGATGCTTTAAAGAGGAAACAATTCAAGTCTCCCACTTCATGAAGAGGAGCTCTTTAACCTCCTCAAATCTTCTTCTGCCTCATTGCTCTATCTGTTGACACACCTCCACTACCTGCCTACAGTAATACACTGTCTCTCTTCCCAGTGGGAATAAGTGAGATGGAATAATGGCTTTTGAAAAAACCCTAGATTCTGAGCTTAACTAACAAAAAGTAGATCATGTAGTGAAGATGAAGAGGAGGGGGATTATACTGAAGACAGCAAAAAAAAAAAACACAGAAAAGACTTCCGGAATCTTTAGGCAGTAAAACTGCAAACTTGACACCAGCCTGGTTGGCGTTTGATCCATCAGTACCAGCTGCTCATCCAGCAGCTCCAGCATCAGACCTCCTGCCCTTCCTGCTTTATTAGCAGCTTGTTTACTCCTCCAACACGCGGTTGCACATAATATAACGCCACTTGACTGCACATAGATGAGCACAATATGGCACCGCTCCCCGATCTATTCATGTCTCAGTGCAGTGCTGAGAAAAGGAGGCAGCAGGAGTCAGACATGTGAGGAGTGATGAAACCTGCTGTTAAAATATGTGTATATTTATACACGAGTTTTATATGGTAGAAACACTACACTGCAAAAAAAAAAAAACATGGTTATGGAATTGGTTTCCACTTAGTTACTGTGGGAGTAGGAAGCTGTTTGATATATTTTCTGTGAGGTTCAGGCACTGGGAGAAAAATGTGGGAGTGTAGTGGCATAGTCCACTCCCTGTGGACTGGATCAGCATTACAAGCATCATAATGGAAGGATTTAACTCTGCTTACCATCAGTATTTTGGACCAGGCCTGGGAAAGTAGACAAAGTGTGTGGGTGTTTTGGGGAAATGGAGTGTGTGCAGCTATTTATCTGCAGAAAAACAATTTTAATCTGTGTATTGTGTCTCTGATGCCATTGCTCTGTGTTTTTTCTTATTTTCAGAGGATGTTCGAGCAGTGAGACGGAGAGTGAGGCGGGAGATTTGCTGGACCAACAGTTTGAGGAGCTCAACAACAAGCTGAACTCTGTTACCGATCCCACAGGCTTCCTGCGCATGGTGTCCAGGAACAATCTTTTTAACAGGTACCAGATGGCAGGATAAAAAAGGTCAAGTAACAGCAAAAACTTAGAAAAAGAAAAAAACAAAGAAAAAAAGAAGAACAAACACCTGTGTAAAAAGATTGCAATGTTTCTACAGTAGATTGTTTTATTAGAAATAAGAAAATATGTCAATGTTTCACTGCTATTTCATATTTCTTTCTATTGTGATAATTATTAGCACATTTTCACTGTCCTCATCCACAGTTGAGCGCTTCTTTGATGAGACAGTAATTGAGTTCTCATTAAGTCTCTTTAATGGGCTGATGGTAATAATCCACTGTTTGGTCCTTCAGAAAAAAACATGTAACACTGTGTGTGCCTTGGAGAATATCACACATTGAACAGCTGAAGTTAAATAAAATGAAATTGTCATTACAGGATTGATGTCAAATTGTACTGAACCAAAATATTTCTTAGGCCTTTCTTTGACATGGCCAATAATTGGCATTTCAATGATCATTTGTTCAGGTAGATTATTGTATGGTTCTCTGTAAGTGTGAAACTGTGAGTTCTATTGGTTGGTTATTCACGTGGTTTTATTATTGATCATCATTTGATCATATTTGATACATTTTACAGCCCTCCACATGAGCAGTGTGATATTTTTTTCCTTGAAAAACCAGATGTATACAATCAGATACATGCAGTGCACAGATAATTCAACAGGGGATAGTTATTCACTCATTAGCGGGCCTTCCAGTGACACTACAAGATTGCCATGACTCAGGATTTGAACACAACTTTGCCAAGTTTGAACAGGTTAAGATGAGAAAAACAGTAATTGTTTTAATGAAACATCAGTAGGAATAGTGACTGGGTTGATACAATGTGAAAATAATTTTAGTAAAACGTGTTGAAAATGCTGTATCAAATTTGATACAGCAGGTATATAAGGTCATGTAACTCTAAATCAGTCAATTGTCATTTTATTGTATTTCATGCAGTATATATAACATTTTTTATTTTTAAATTACATAATATGCTACATTTAGAGTACTAACACACAAATGTATCATATAATATATAATATATAAGGTGAAGGAAAAGGTTTACAGGACGGTTGTGAGACCAGCCATGAGGTATGGTTTAGAGACATTAGCAATAGGCAGAAGACAGGAGGCGGAGCTGGAGGTGGCAGAGTTAAAGGTGCTAAGATTCTCTTTAGGGGTGACAAGGATGGACAGGATCAGGAATGAGGTCATTAGAGGGACAACACAGACAGGAAAGTTTGGAGAAAAAGCCAGAGAAGCCAGATTGAGATGGTTGGGACATGTGCGGAGGAGGGACAGTGGTTACATTGGTTGAAGAATGCTGGAGATGGAGCTACCAGGTAGGAGAAAACGAGGAAGGCCAAAGAGGAGATATATGGATGCAATGAGGGAGGACGTGCAGATAGTTGGAGTCAGAGTAGAAGATGCAGTGAACAGGGTGAGATGGAAAACAATGATTCGCTGTCGCAACCCCTAAAACAAAAAGTATAAGCCGAAAGGAAAAGAAGATATAATTTATATATTTTTAGGGGTGACAAGGATGGACAGGATCAGGAATGATCATTAGGGGGACAACACAGACAGGAAGGTTAGGAGAAAAAGCTAGAGAAGCCAGATTGAGATGGTTTGATGTGCGGAGGAGGGACAGTGGTTACATTGGTTGAAGAATGCTGGAGATGGAGCTAC